TGGTCTCGTATTGTAATGGCGCTTGGTGAGATAAGATATCCTGAGTAGAAGTTTCGTAGCCATCCTTGTAAGTTCGGTGTGTGTTTGGTTGGTGTCTGGTTCCGGTTCGTGTCCGGTTCGTGTCCGGTTCGTGTCTGGTCCGTGTTTGGTTTCGTATCTGGGATCGGGTCGGCGGATCCACGGCGGCTTCTTCGGAGGCAGCTTCCGCCTCGGTAAGGGCAAGCTTTTATATTAGATGTCGGATCGTCCACAATGGTCTGCCTCCTTCCCTACGAGTTCATTTATGGCGGCTTCAGAAGTAGGACCAGTAGCGAGTTGCGCCCAGGAAACATATGCCACTCTGCAGGGTTTCGACTGCAGGGTGGCAAGGGATAATTGATGCGGCTGACAAAGACAGTCTTCGCTTGCTAGAGGACGTCCTGACGGATATTGGAGCATCAAGGAATCGGAGGTCAGTGGTATCGGAGGCAAGGCGTAGACACTTGGCATTTGTGAAATGCCGCTTGGTCTTGCCGGTATTTCGGGCAACCTAGAATTAATATTTGTTGCTAAAGATCTTCCCTTATTTGTCCCTATCAATCTTCTCCGGGCCCTGAATTCATGGGTTGACCTCGGAATCTCCTGCCCTTATTTGCCTCCGGCTCGTATCAGATTCGACCTGATTATGTTTTCTACAAGTAATTAGATGGATCCAGATATATGATCTCTTATTTTCAAATGTGTATTCACATAATATATTTGGTACGTATCTATTTCGGGTCTGGATAGTTTTAGTATGCATTATAGTGGTAGGGAGTCGTGGGACCCTATTATCCCTATATTTTCAATATCCGAGCGTCTGGGTGTCTAGTTCGTGACTGGGTTCGGGTCTGGTTCGTGTCCGTTTCGTGTCTGTTTCGTGTCTGGGTTCGTGTGGTTCGTATCCGGGTCGTGTCTGGGTTCGTGTCCGTTTCGGTCGTATTTGGTTCGTGTCTAGTTTGTATCCGATTCGTGTTTGGATCCTGTCTGGTTCGAGTTTGGGTTCGTGTCTGGGTTGGTGTCTAGTTCGTGTCTAGTTCGTGTTTGGTTCGTATTTGGTTCCTGTGCGGATTCGTATTTGGTTCGAATTTATTTGATCCAAATCTGGGTTCGGATCCGAATCGTATCTAAATCGATATGATTTTATTTTCTATAGAGATTTATATATATCTTATTTCAATATATATATATAGAATCATATTTAGATTCATATTTGAGAATTCTTTTTAAATATAATATTTTCCTTTTATTTAAAGTACGATCTTTGACTAATTGTTTTTTTAATTTTATTATCAAAAATTATTCTTTTTTTTTATAGATAGATTCTAAGATTCTAAGATCTATGATCTTTGACTAATTGTTTTTTAAATTTTATTATATATTTTATAGATTTGTCTTCGTCATTTTCTATTTTAATAATTAAAATATATTTTATTAAGAATCAAATATATAACTTTATTTTCAAATATAATATATAATTTTTTTCCTTCTTTATTAATAGATAGGTATGAGTAAACTTTATTCAAGATATTATATTAATTTTAAATAATTATAGTTTTTCGAATATTTTAATATTTTAGAAGAGTTTAGAGTTAGAAGGGTTTAGAGCACCTAAATGAAATTATTTAAGTTCTTATAAATTTTAGTAAAATTATTCAGAATTTTTTTTTATGGCCTAGCGATATATATTTGCTTCGATATTATTTCTTATTTTTTATATTCCTAAAATATAATATCTGTCAATATATTCGTTAGGTCCAAGCCTGATCATAATTTCAAGCCTAATCAAATTAAATCCAAAATCTGGGCCCAGGATCAGGCTTATTTCCTTCTTTTTCTCTTTCAGAGAAAAAATATTCTTGACAAATAGAGGCCCAAATTCAAGACCAGGGCCCAGGCCCAAAGACCAAGGCCGCTTGCCCAGGGACTCAGGTCGAGGCCCAAGGCCCGGCCCTGCCTGCAAGTCCAACCAGACCAAGCCGCAAATCTAGGTCCGGGCTTAGGCCCAACATTCCCCTATTTTGCCTGCATGGGCCAATAGATGCTGAAGCTGTGCAGAATGCGCGTGGTGGCTGCCGGAAAAAGCCTACAACGATTAGTATTTGTACAGTCGGATCTTTTTCATATCATGCCGCTCTTGGCACCACGCACATGTCATGTGAAACTCAACTTGAGAGCAAGTCCTGCATGGGTCAATCGGGATGCTGAAGCTGTGCAGAATGTGCGTGGTGGCTATCCAGAAAACGCCTAGAAAGACTAGTTTGTACAATCAAATCTTTTTCATATCATGCCGCTTGGCACCAGGCACATAGTTTGAAGCTCAACCTGAGAGCAAGTATCGCGGCTCGAAGGAGCCTTTGGGGCCACACAAAGATTGCTTCGGAGCAGTCCGAATTCGGCGTGCTCGGTTTCGAGCAGAAGATTCAAAAGATTAATGAGCTGAACTGCACTTCGTACACGTCGGATCAGAATTCCAGTAGCGCTTATGGCTGGGTGTACGCATCGCACAAGGTTACGACGTATTCAATCAGCAGGGAACCGTCTTCTGACGACAGTCTCCCCAGTTGCTGAACTGCTTGCTCCAGATCTCTAAGGCTGCATCTGAGGGGCGGATCTTGTTGCGCAAGTCTCGAGCTGCTGCATCCATGAAACGCAGATGCGGCTTTTCACCAGCGAGTGTGGCAGTGCCCTGCATGCTGTTGCAAGAGCACAGGCGTGCTTCTGGGAGGGCAGCTGCGAGGGCTGCTTCGGCCCAAGCTGAAGCCAGAGAGTCGTCGTTGGCCTTTCAAGGCTGACAAACCCCGGTTGAGGTGTGAGTTACTGCAACAGGCGTTGCTGGCCTTCCTCGATACCCACAAGCCATTATTGTACGACACTGCGCGAGGCGGCGGGATGCGACAAGATATACATCATGCGATGCGATGCGATAGGCTATATATTCCAAGTCCAACCAAAATTTCACCTCGAGGCCGGCTTCAACTTCACCGATCTCAATATTCGGTTGTCTTTTGGGGGTTTGGGTTTAGGGTTTAGTGGTTTAGGGGTAGCGGGGTTTAGGGTTTAGGGGTTTAGGGTTAGGTGTGGGGTCTGGAGCTTTGCGGGTTTATATAGGGGTTTAGGCTTAGGGCTCGCTGAATGAATAGGTGTGGACCAAACGAAACATGGGTGCCTCGCAGTTTGGTGAGTTCTGTGAATGTCATCCTCAACGCACGCTGATACTACAAGCGTACACACAGATGTGTGCTTGTACGTCTCGCGCAGCCTGAACTATATGCATGCCTGTATGTACATGCGTACGCACGTGTGTACGTATGTATGATGTACATGTATACACACATATACATATATATATATATATATATAAACATGTGTATATACACGTGTATATAAATATATAGAAAACTCTATCAACGTGTCTATTCATATCGTGTACAAGCATTCGACATACCTATTCTTTTAGAGCAGGGAGGGGGGCCAACCGGGTTCTCCCCTCCCTCTACATGTCTACAAAAATAAAAATACATGATCCCGGTTCGGCCGGCCC